GGCTAATTTGCGCCGTCCATGCTAGTTTGAGATGAATGTATATCGGTCTGGTGAAGAGGCAATTTCAAGCTTCGGGATAAAATTCCGAGTCTGGAAAAAGCGGGTTATTTGGCTAATTCAAGCTGATGAAGACAGGCCTCATGATATCAGCAATCCTTGTGTGTTTACAAACATGAAGTCACATGGTTGCACTGAAGCAATATGACAAAATGAAAGTGTCATTATATATAAAAATAATTTTGATGTTTTTTTTCTAAAAGCAAAAAGAGAAATTACTGAAAGTTATATACCCAAAGAAGACAGGAATGAGAAAATTGGAAATGAAATTTATTAAGCCTTAGATGAAAATAAACATGCTTCATAAGAAAAAGCACCAGCAAGAAATTAAATATCACCATATCTCCTTTTAAAAGCAGAACAATTGTGATTACAGCATGATTGATTTCTAACAAATTGTAATCATATCATGTTAGTGCTGAATTTTGGCATCACTGTACTAGCGAGGGTGTGAAATGCTCAACAGCCAGATGTATTTTTTGAAAATTATTGTAAAGAATTATTGTAAAGAAATGTGTTGAGTGTAAACATGGAAATAATTGTAGTTAAGACACTCAACCGTGATACTGAGTAAACATTACCCTGAAAGAGATATTATCTTCTTTGAATGGTAGCAGCTTTCATCATCACAGTCACACATTTATCTTCCCCTTTGGAGTCATTGATACAGATCAAAGCAAAATGCCCAAAACTCAACATGTTCCTCTTACCGTACACAGAAATATTGATTGTTGGTTTTTTACTTCCCTGATTCCAATAACATCTGCTACACAAAAAATAACCTGGAAAGTTTAGCTGTATTCACATCACAACCTCTGCCTAGACCCAAATTCAAAAGGGCATTTCCTTGTATGCATTTACATAAAGTGTATGTTTAGAGGTATTTTAAGGTTGTCCTTTATATTCTTATATCACATTTAATTCAGGGAAATAAATTTTCATTAGCCACTTATGCTATTCGTGGTCTCAATATGTATGTTGTTTCATATTTTGTTTTAAGAAATGGAAAAACATTTATCTATTTATTTATTATTTCATTAAAATACCCTTCTCATTCTCAACTTATACAACAAAAAATAGTAGTTTCATAAGTGGGCAGTGTGTGAGCGAATAGAGACTTTATTTTAATCTATGATAATTCATGCGCAGACTCAGAGTACCAGATGTCTTCAATACTACAGTGCTGTCTTATTAGACCCCTGTTACACATACGTCTGAAAGTGGACTGAGGCCGGCCCCGGTGGCGGCTCGGCGTATGTGTAACACCAACTTTTTTTGAAAAGCCGGACTGAGGCCAGGTGGACTCAGTCCACCTCTGGATGTGGTTTGAGGCCGGCCTCAATCCCGCAATCAGTAGGTGTAACACCAAAGTGGACTCGGGGCCAGCTTATAAGCGGAAGTGACGTGACCTGTCAGCATATTATATCAACATGATACATCGGGGGTGCTTTAATTTGCCACCTTCTCTTATGTTATTCTTTGTTTTTATCATTCTTTCACTTTCTCTTTCTGTCTTTCCTTATCTTATTCTTTGTTTTTATTATTCTATCATTTTCTCTTTCTGTCTTTCCTTATCTTATTCTTTGTTTTTATTATTCTATCACTTTCTTTTTCTGTCTTTCCTTATGTTATTCTTTGTTTCTTCCTTCTATCACCTTCTCTTATGTTATTCTTTGTTTTTATCATTCTTTCACTTTCTCTTTCTGTCTTTCCTTATGTTATTCTTTGTTTTCACCATTCTATCACTTTCTCTTTCTGTCTTTCCTTATGTTATTCTTTGTTTCTTCCTTCTATCAAATTCTCTTATGTTATTCTTTGTTTTTATCATTCTTTCATTTTCTCTTTCTGTCTTTCCTTATCTTATTCTTTGTTTTTATTATTCTATCACTTTCTTTTTCTGTCTTTCCTTATGTTATTCTTTGTTTCTTCCTTCTATCACCTTCTCTTATGTTATTCTTTGTTTTTATCATTCTTTCACTTTCTCTTTCTGTCTTTCCTTATGTTATTCTTTGTTTTCACCATTCTATCACTTTCTCTTTCTGTCTTTCCTTATGTTATTCTTTGTTTCTTCCTTCTATCAAATTCTCTTATGTTATTCTTTGTTTTTATCATTCTTTCACTTTCTCTTTCTGTCTTTCCTTATCTTATTCTTTGTTTTTATTATTCTATCATTTTCTCTTTCTGTCTTTCCTTATCTTATTCTTTGTTTTTATTATTCTATCACTTTCTTTTTCTGTCTTTCCTTATGTTATTCTTTGTTTCTTCCTTCTATCACCTTCTCTTATGTTATTCTTTGTTTTTATCATTCTTTCACTTTCTCTTTCTGTCTTTCCTTATGTTATTCTTTGTTTTCACCATTCTATCACTTTCTCTTTCTGTAAAAAGGCGACGTGAGGCCGGCCTATGTGTAGACGCAAAATTGCGGGCCTGAGATCATGTGTAACAGGGGTTTGATGATCTCGAGGCGGCTTCAAATTACAGGTGTGAGGCCGCCTCCGGGGCCCGCTTTAAAAGCCGACGCATGTGTAACAGGGGTCTTATATGGTCCAGCTGATCTCAACCATCTTACATTATAGATGCTGACCCTTCAAACTACAGCTCCATGACTAACCTGATAATATGCCGAATGCCAACAGACCATGAGGGTAAATCAATGCGCTGAGAGCCAGAAGGGCATTACATCTATGTGAAGATATATTTAAAGACAGTCAATACTACTGGGCCAGAAGGGATTAGACCACACAGCGAGGTCACTGACAGGTGGTTATCTCATTAACTCAGCTCTCAACTAACATAAGAAAAAGAGGATCATGGGGGACCAACAGGCACCGATTGGGGAAGTTTTCTATATAGAGGGAGCAACTAGCAACAAGTAGGACAGTAGGGCTTTAAAGTCTCTAGATAACACCATTCTGGCTCTGAGCAGATGAGTCTATTCCCATATGCTCTACACCCAATCCGTCTACTATCCATATGGTCTCATTATCATTTGGTCTAATGACCATTTAGGCTAATGGTCTGTTGGTCTAATTTCCATTTGGTCTAATATCCAATAAGTCTACTACCCATTTGGTCTAATTCCCAGTATGTCTAATGCCCAATTTGTCTACTAATCATATGGTCTAATAATCACTTAATCTTCTTAAGTAATACTTATCATCAAATGATAATTAGACCTTATGGCTGAGAGCCAGAGGAACAGTAACAAGTTGTGTGAAGGTACATAGTCATTACATATAAGCCCTTCTGACCCTCAGCAGATGATATATCATATGCTGAGAGCCAGAAGGAAGGATGTTAACACTGCGTGGGGTATAAAGGGCCTACATTTTTCTGGCTCTTAGCTGACAAAATATATAGAGGGGGAGTACGTATTGAATCTGGAGACATTGTTTCCTTCCTATTAATGTGTCACCTATCCCATACTTCCCTTATCCTTATGATTCAGTATGATAAAGTACATGCAGCAAAAGGCCATTCTGCAAACTTTTGAGATTAGCATTACCTACAGATCGCATCAAAAACATTTGCCCACTGCCTAGTAGGACAAATGAATTTATTATAGGCCAAATAACAAAAATAATGTGTTTCTGTCCGGACTTAAACAAAAAAAAGGAGGCAGGGCATTACTATTTGCTATTCTTTCCAAGATGGTTGCCATGCTAATTATAGCTGGCCAAGCCTATTTATTCACAGATATTGTGCTATAACAGTATATTGATGCAATGTATGACAAAACAAATGGTTTGTATCAATTGCAAGGCTATTAAAACACAATATATATCACAGGCTTTTGCTTTTTTTTTCCTGAATAGTAAATAGTTTTTAAAAAGAGGCGGGCAGGGACGAGAAACACTTCAATTTTGTTATTTGGCCTTAGACCTATAGTATACACACACACACATGATCACAAGTCAGATGTCACATCCCTTGTAGCTATTCACACTTGGGATGCCTAAAACTGATTTCTCACTTCACTTCCACTGACCTTATCCATAAAGGAAAAACAAATTAGAGAGATTGAATTGCAGCCGGAATGTCAGAATTGATTTTTTAAATCTTAGCATGCCACTATCTGCTTTTGTGTGTGAATGGCCATAGTATGGGAGACACGTCAGGCAAGCAGAATAACAAACTATACATGTACATGTATGTAGGTAGGTGAATGCTAACACGACTTGAGGGAAAATACCGTCTAGGCACACAATCGATGAGCATGTTTCGGATTAGAATTTGTCCTTCGATATTGTTTGTATAGTTAAGTTGTTAGTCGGGCAGGTAAATATTAATCTTTCCATGATCATTCAAGAATCAAAACAGTTCAATGTATGCTCCAACACACATACTAAACTAGTTGATTTCTTTTTGTCAGACTGTGACAATATTTCTGATCCATGGAAATAGAAAAACTGCTATCTTCTTTGTTTCTCAAGAGAAATATGAATGTGTAACAACACTTTAAAAAACCAACCATTTATAACTATACATGAATGAAAATGAACCAGCCTAAATTCATCTCTAAATGTTCAATTTAATTTAACTTTATTTTCAATTTTGTTGTAAAAAAAAACCTGATCGAGGCCTCTTTTGCAGTGCTTTGTATCAGGTTTGTGACATGTACAATAATGCAGTAAGGTAAAAGAAGCTGAAAGTGAATGAATAGACAAGATACCAGGAAATGATAGCACCTGAATGCATTGTTACATCATAATATTAGATTAGCAGAAGCTTCACTGGTTGTCTCTACAACAGAGTCTATACAGAGGACGAAGCCTTTCCAAATATGCGGGCTCACATATATAGATGGTAACGCAGTTTACAAAAGTTATTGTGAAATAACTGTTAATTAAAAGTCTCTTGACACAAAGTGTGTCACTCTATGTTATTCTTTCCACTTATGAAAGAAGGAAATCCTAACCACATCCACATCCAAATATTCTTACCTTATGATTGGCTATCACCAGCAGAGGGACAGGCCCTGTACAGTCCTTTACTACAAGGGTCGGTGTTCCTGAAGGTTAACATCTTGGACCTATCATATTCATCCACACAAGAGAAATGGCCTCCTGCAAGTGGAACAGATGATGAAGTTTAGAGCGAGTAATGAAATGATTCTACATCTGGACAAAAAAACCTTGGTTATTTCAATGTGTTCAAGTTTCCATACAGTAGCAGTCTACAAAACAATCCCACTTCCTTGTGTTTAGACAGAATGTATAGGACCTACAAGCCCATTAGTCTTTTACAGACAACGGACGAATAATAGCTCAGCTTTCTCTCTCGAGTAACTTAATCTCTCTTGCTCTTTTTAGTATCTTGTCAGGTTTAGCCTCGTCTCTACAATCGTGTTTTGTTCCATATAAGCCATGTAATGCTCGGCAAAACAAATCAGATGTGTTTTCTCCCTCCCTCTCCATTTACATTTCACTTTCCCTCAGTATGTTTCCCTTTCTGTCTTTCCTCTGCACTTCTTCTCAGCTTGCCCCAACTCCTCATCCACTTCAGATGCACTTAAACTCACTTTAAGCCAATTCTGCAAGCTGTAAGTAGTGTCTTTAAACCAATCAAGTCTGTTGGAGCACTACAAGAATAAGCTTTAAGTTTATACAGAACATGGCCATTGCCTTACCCTAGTTTGCTGAAGAACATTATATGTCACTGCTGAGCACAATGAGGGTATATTAACTCCATGCTATGGGCTATCAACACCCTACTGATTCTCAGCAAGATTCTCAACAATCCAGGCCAAAAATATATTTATGAAGGCCCTTACAGTTTTGTTTACTTGATAGACAATCCAATACTATAATAGGCAAACTAGAATAGGCAAACTTTTGTTTCTTCTATGTAGATTTTAGAAGAAGAAAAAAAAAGACACTTTATAATACATCATTCCCTTTCCTTTCTTTTATATTTGTTGTAAAAACTAATTACATGTAATTAGACATCCGATCCAGTAAAAATCTTTAGGAAATATATTCAATACACACGTATGAATATGGAACATTATCACAATGTATGGTATTTCCTTGTTATTGCTTCTCTAGCAATGACCGTAATCATGCAGTCATGGAATACCAAAAGATCACAGATTAATATTTACTATGACATGTACATGTAGGTATAGTGTAGGTACTAGTTAACAAACACAAGAAAAGACAGTGTTTGTTGACCATGTACAGTAATGCCAAGAATATCAATAATAAGGAAATATCCAGTTTCCCTTAAACAAACAGACAACTTTTTTTTAAAGGTGTTTTTAAATTAGACATTATGCATGGGCGTTCATAGAAATAGAAATATCATATCTATATCTTTGCTAAGATTGGAAGCGATCCTAAATCTATATTTTTGACAAAATAAAATCCAGATAAACTTTTGCCAGGGCATATCGTCCTTGTTTTCACGAAGTGACGGTAGTGAGGAAAATCGTAACGCAAAGTGAATACAATTTTTGTTCACTACCGTCACTTCGTGAAAACAGCGACGATATGTCAGATGACAACATGGATGTACATGTACATACTACATGCATATGTGAACAGAACATGTATGAATACTTAACATTCTCATTAAACTTACCATACTATTTACATTGATTGATGGGTGAACTCGAACTTGAAGTAATCCTGATTATTTCCTTTCAGTTCTGATCCTTTTTTAAAGTTAAAATTCCAAGGACTAATGTTCACTCGAGTTTACAGCATCCACATCTCACTGCAAAGACAGGAAGAATAAAAAAGGGTACTTATATTTATTTGATCCTTCAAATTAGGGGAACCCCCTAAACAGACATGTCAGAGGATATACTTATAAAATTGACAGATGACAAGGCACATATGCACAAATATACTTGCATGCATGCACTTGTATGCATAGTACTAGTAGTACATGTAGTACACATACTATTGTGCAACAACAGGGGAATCCCCTAAAATATTGATTGTGTGTAGATGACTGTAGATTGACAAACAATAAGAGTGAATAGACACGTCAATGACTAATCACAGGTGTGAGCTTCAGTGTATTGCAGCTATCCAAAGGGTAGAAGCCTGATAAAATGAAGATGACATCATCAATAATAACATCTACTCCTCCCACTTCACACACATTAGACATGATACAGTGTACAGGTGTATTTCACAATCTTCTATACTTTATAGAAAGTAAAATGAGCTGTGGAAGATGTAAAGAGTTAGCGATATCACATCTACATATATACAGGTGTACATAGGTGACAAAAACATTATGAACAAAACTAAAAACCCATATCAAACTAAAGTTGCACATTGTGAATTTTAGATTGTAGAATTTTTCAACAACTTTGTATTTACTATTTAGCTAAGGTCTCTGAAAACAAATTTATACACTTAGTCTGCATGACTCTGTTTCATCTAACACTATCCGAGTAAAAAAATGTTTGTTAATTAATCCTGTAAATAACCTTTGAACTCTTTTATAGCCACCCAACATCATCCAATAAACATTACCCTTAATTGTACTTAATTTTTTTCTTCCTCTCTGCAATATCATGAGACACAAACCACATTACACGAATCAAACATCTCTGTCCACAGGAGCGGATGAAAACATTATGCAATGCAGTCGCAACGGTTAATCACGGATCGCAAACAACCCTGTTTTGCAGGGAAGTTGTCGGCGGGATTCGCAGAAGAAGAGTTTGGGTTTCACTGCTTTCGTTTTGGCGATGGGAAGTAATTAATCTAAGGGGTAACTCTAGGAGGGCGATGAGAGTCACACAATTGGCTCTAGAGGGGCTCTAGAGGGGCAAAGAAGGGGTGAAAAGCTGCAGGTGGGGAGTACCCTTCACAACAAGCTCGGAAAGAGATAGACATTGCACCATCCTTTGAAAGACTCATCACAATATCAAAGAGAAATAATTCAATTTACAAGCTCTTCCTTTGCTCCCCAGTAATGATTTGCAAATCACATCACACTAAACAAGAGATTATTTTTTTAACATCATGTTAACAAGGTAGATTACACAATTTTTAATTTAAGAGTTAGTTATCTAATGTAATTTACAGTTTATTCTTTACTACTAGCAAATTGTGGGATACTTTTTATATACCGTGTTTTTTTTTTCTTCAAATTTTAGAGGGATGTGCTTCTCAGCTCCCATCTGTTTTTTTTTTTTTTTTTTTTTTTTATAGCATGTGCATGATCTACTTTAAACATCTTTAATTATTTCATCTGTTTGAAGCAAAAAGGAAATTAATTTTGTTTTAAATGATGTGAGTTAATCGCCTTTGGGCTCTAAACAGACAATTTATACTGTCACAGTGAAACTTTAAACACAGAGTTTATAATTTTTCAAGTCCATTAATGCTTTGTTGTATAAAAAGCACTCCTAGTCATTTATAATTTGAATATATTAATATTTTCGTAAAAAATGCACATCAAACATTAATCAAAAGCAGACAGCTGAGTGATTCCATGACATTTGCTCCGGCGACAATTGCTCCGCTGTAAATTTCATACACTAATCGAATGGCTAACTTCAACCCTGGATTCAACACTATACCCTACCCTAAACCTAACCCTAAACCTAACATAAAACCCTATTGAAACCCTAACCCTAACCCTACATCTTAGACGAAATAAAGCCCGGAGCAATTGTCGCAGGAGCAAATGTCGTCTCACCAGCTGAGTTCATCAGTAACTATGGACATATACAGCTCATTAATCGTTATCACACAATACTCTATACAAATATTGTATATGTATTGCCAGAGGTCTGGCAGGCAGAGAGGGAGGGCCATGCACACTTGATCAAGTACGCAATTTTCCCTGAGTACCGCGGTTCCATTTTACAGGGTAATATCCGTCACATTTCACACTTCAGGTGTCAACTACAGACAGTCCTTTGTGGCCTGCCAGAAGGGCGTTAACTCATATACTTTTACATGGAGTTATCGCCTTCTGGTTCTCAATGTAGATATTGTTCTTCATGACCTGCCAGACCTACTCTATTCATGCTTCATCAACAGCAGCTGCGCACAGCAAAATCATAAATCGGTTTTTATTTTCAACAATTCTGATTTTTTTTTTGTGTGTGTGTGTGTGTTAGATTAAAGCTATCAGTTGGTGCTGGCATATTAAGTTATGATAATTTAAATCATTGATTCCGAATGTATCACTGATTGTATCATTGATCTAAATAATCATTTACCGGTATTGTTCATATTTACATGATTTGTTGGATCTACTGTACAAACATGTACATATTTAAAGGACACACTTCATCAATACAGTTCTAATCACATATTCAAATTATATTTTCAGACATAAAAAATACCAACTCTGCAATTGGCCTATTAAAGATGTCGAAGTACAAATGTAATAATTTTTAAACCAAAAGCAAACTATGTTTATTCCACACAAAATATCTAGGTCTATTATTAAGCTACGATCAGATAGTGAAAGTTGACGAGAATGAAAATGAAAGAGTTATAAATTCATAAATCATGATCACGATCTTCAGGAAGAGAGCAACATACAGTAGCTAATATAGCTCCAGTAAGGTCATGAATCAAATTTAATTTGTTATTTGTTATTAATGAATTATTACAATCACATGCATGTATAATCATTAGTAGGTAATAATTTATTTGTACAGCTTTCAATCAATCTATTTTAAATATTCTGAACAGTTTGGAGGACAATTTTTTGTAAAGACCAGAGTAAAGTATGCATGTACGTGTACATGAATGTTACCTGTATGAATGGCTTTAACGATCGACAAGTTAACAACTTAAAAACAGGATATTTTACCTTCGTTGCTACTGCTGCTTTTATGTATATTATTGTGCCATCTTTTGGTGAAGCATTATCATGCGTACATTAGCAATTGGTCATGCATTGTGGGACATGGCAGTCGACACATGAGATGGCAGTGTATATATATCTGAAGTAGTGTCAGTAGAATACCCTGCCTTCAATTTGATCCAGGGTCCGAAATCGGACTGACCTAAAAGCAAGTTATTTGACCTCGACTTAAACAGCATGCAAGCTCTGACCTCAAAACAGATAACAACACAATAACAGCAAGAATTGTTTTTCCCAATGAAATAAATTGCTTTTGGCATAGTTTACATTTCTTCAAATGCAAAATACAAACATCAAACAAGCAGAATACAAAAAAACATATCGTTAATTTCTGGCTCGCTACAACGCTTTCCAGATGTGTCCTCTCAAATTACTGTCTACTTCTTTGTTTACTGCCTGTACATTGTAAACTCCTTAATCATATGATTCATATATTCCTGTCTATTAATCATCCTAATGTATTATGCAATGCTATGTACCATAAAGCCTCTTTTTACGCATGATGGAATAAAGCACCTAGCTAGTGGGGCAGAAAGTGCGGCAAAATAAAACTAATTTACAAGTTGGCCTTGATGAGCAAGTTGGGGTGAACAAAATGAAGCTGTGTGCAAAAAATACCATAACATCAAGAGCACTCGATCATCTTTATGTTATCAGATATATATATATATATATATATATATATAGATGTATCATTATTATTTTGCCACAGTAGATTTTTGGATATGATTTTATAACTTCATATGTGAACGAGGGTGCGATGGGTGGAGAACTCATATGCTTTTCACACTGGCAATATTTTCCTTAACCCTGTACTATAGGTGGGGTTAAGGGGGGGGTCTTAACCCCACCTATAGTACGGGATTAAGCCTATTCCACTTTCTGTTCACACTGGCTTTTACCAAAGTGGGCTAAAGTTGGCTAACCCCACCTATAGTACGGGGTTAACTAACCCTGCAAAATAGCAGGGCTAACTCCGCAATTGTGGTGCTAACTCCTGCTAACCCCGCAATTGCGGTGCTAAGCAAACGAATGAGAACAGAAACGAAAAATAGTCCGGTACTACGCAATGGAGCGTATCGCAGCTGGCCAGATGCGAAGTATGTCCTATCATAACATACACGATATCCGGGGTTAACGAAATGCAGTGAGAACAGCGGGAATTTTCTTATTCCGGAATAGGCGGTAGTACGGGACTAAAAACAGCGAGTGTGAAAAGCCAAAAAAATAGTCCGGGGTTAAGCAAAGTACGGGGCTAAGCAAAGTACGGGGTTAAGCAAAACCAGTGTGAAAAGAGTATCAGGGAACTCAGCATGCATAACATCTGCACTCCAGACTCAAATCTGCTTGCTATAAAAACTAAAATCAGGCTTTTTCGACAAGCTGGTAAGGGAATACAAATACAACAAAACACTGTCCAGACTATGATCGTGTACATTTAATATTGAAGTTTTAAACAGGGGAAAATCCCTGATAAACCTCTCTTTGTTTTTTTTTATCACCCTTTCTGCAGGTTCATCTTTTGTTTTAATGCTTTTATATTTGATTGTAACTTATATGGTCGTTTTATGAATCTGTGGAAATAAATGAAATTGAAATGTTGATGCATGAACTATGAGTGTACATCATTTAACTTTGCCACGGCAGAATTAAAATGATGTGGCAGTTCACGACGCGATATGTGAACGGTGCCTAACACTTCAATGGTGTGATGGGTGAGATCGTAGAGAACCCAGCATGCATAACATCTGCACTGCAGACTCAGACAACATAATCTCTCCTGGCTATAAATATACAGACTGTTTGACAAGCTGGTACGGGACAGTACAAATACAACGAAATACACTGTCCAGACTACAATGTATTTA